TTAGTTTTCATTTTTTCTCTGACACATGAATTAATTTTAAAATCAATGAAAATTGTTCAAATGTGTAAACCTGTGGCTGACCTCTCAAATGCACTGTAAATAACACAGTAGAAAATAATTCAGAGCATTTCATATGGAAACATCCAAAGATTTTGAAGGAAAATTATTAGAATTTGTTCATGCAGCGAGTGACTGTGTAAGTTAACCTAACAAGCGTTATACACTTTTCAGTAGCTCACATACAGGCACCGGTATTAGAAAATGTTATAATAAGAGATACAAATATATCAGGTTGTCAGGATTATTTCACTATTTTTGTCATTAAATGTCTAAAAATCTTTAATTTCTGTATGGACATCCAGCAGTTAGAGAAATGGGCTTTTGATTTAATACCTCCTCCAAAGGATGAATGCAATGTTGTAGTCCTATTGGTCCCAGGACATTAGATACAAGGTTGTTTAGCATAGATAACTAGCACATATTCTCTTCAGTGTTATTAACTGGACACTCCATTTTGAATGGTCCCTTGGAATATGTTCTAACTACCTATAATAAATATATCTTCCACCTTATAATTTTCTGTCCCAAAACTGAAGAAGAGCTCTGTGTAGCTTAATAGCTTGTCTTTCTCACCAAAGAAGGTTGGTCAAATAAAAGATTCCTCTTTCCCATTTTGTCTGTTCAAAGGATGACACCACTAGCTGTATTCTGCTAGTACTACGCTGTAAATTCAGCAGTGAGCATTACATTAGGTCCAAAGTTGAGGAATGAACCTCAAACTTTCTGGTTCAGCATTTAAAGCTCATGCCATTATAAATGTACATACTGTACAGTAAACAATTCCAGTTTTCGAATCTCTAGTACACATTTAGGGAATTTTAGTATATTGCACTGAGAAGATAGAACAAAGTTCAGATTTTTTTTATTTCGAATGAAATGTTTTAAGGGTCCCAAGTTTGATTGACTGAAATGTTTTATATGAAGTTTATTCTTATCTCTGTAAAAAATCAACATTCATCAGTAAAGTTGGTAACCAACTGGCTGCATCTGTGATACTGCAGTTATTTTTTTTATAATTGGTGCCTCTTGTGTATTATAACTGTTGATAAACATTCAGGTTTAATGGTATGTTCCACTGCTGCATAAGTAATTTTCTCTTATTGCTTCACATTATATATGTGGGATTTTTCTTACCAAGAAATGTATGGTAAAAGGGGAAGCATTTTCATTCATTAGATATGGAACTTGTCAGCTTTTTTGATGTATTTGAATCTTTTCCACTTTTGTAAATTGTGAAGTCATTTTACATTTTGCAAATTAGTTGTGGAATTTTCTCAATATTATGCTCATCAAAATAATGTTCACTACATAGACGATGACACATTGATTATGGTAATATATGGTAAGCGTGAACTGTATTTTATAGATAAAAACAAAGGGCAAAATCCTCAGTTCTGCAAGTGTAGAATTCTAAGCCACACTTCTTCTTCGAGTGGTGTCCCTGTGAATGCTCCACTCCAAGTGAAGGGTTGCCCTGAGCCGCAGATTGGAGCCTTGCAAAGCAGTTTTCCCTGTTGGGCTGCACATGTGTAGGGGGCGTCTTGAGACTTTCCCGCCTCCTGTTAGCATGTGGCTCAACGCCCTCCCTTTCAGTTCCTCTTCAACCTCATCATTGGACGGAGCAAACAGGAGCTTCCTATCAGTCTCTCAGACTATTTTTCTATTAGTTAAGTTTAGTCACAGTTGTTTCCCCTGTTGTACTTCCAAGTTAATTTCCCTCATTTCTTTCTTAAAAAAAAAAAAAAAAACTAGTAATAAGAAGAACAAATTTAATGAAAAGCCCCCCGCAGAGGATTAGAACTCGCTTCAGAGCAGAGCCCCGGTGAACCGGGGCTCTCCTGGTTATTCAACCAAAAGAAAACATATAAATAAAAGAAACAGAAGAAAACAATGACAACAACAGACAGAAATGAATAAAACAAGGAAAATAAACAACAGAATAAGGAGGAGGAGGAGAGAACTGGATATGTCTATCTCCTCAGGTTTTAAAAAATGTGACTAGTGCCGCGAGCCTATGCTGGCTTCCGATGGCTGTACAAAATGCATTTGCTGTCTGGGGGAAACCCACTCACCCCACAGCTACACACACTGTGCTTCATTCACGGCAAAAGCTAGAAAATATAGAGAGCTCTGCCTGAGTGATTTTATTTGAGAAGGCTCTACAGCCTGCTGAAGGAGAAGGGACAGTGCAGCAGGAGCCCCCCTGCCTGCCAAAAGTGTGCTCAGACAGAGAGCCTCACCATCCCGCTCTCTTCCAGCTTCCTCCTCCCCAAAACTCAGAGGAGAGGCACAGGATAGCATGAGGATCCTTGCCATTAAAGCAGCAGGAAGATCTTCACACTCTGCACTGGGACTGGTGCTCGCTGCCTTGGAGCAATCCCGAGAATGCTCCAAGCAGCTGGCATGGCAAGAAAAGCCAGCGCCACTTCAAACGGCAGTGCTGCTTCAAGCCCCGGCACTGCTTAAAGCTGTGGCACTGCAGCAGAAGAAATCCCACCCAGCTAAGCTGGCACTGGCTACAGCTGTGCAGTAAGAAGACGCTGCACCAGCACTGACAGCAGGCATAGATAAGCAGCCAGATGAGACTGCTACAGTACAGCCCCAGGAAGCAACTAACACTTACAGCAGGCAGCAGCATCCATACTGCCTTCTACTGATTACTCATCTGTGAGGTCTCTACCAAGACAGCCCCCTCTCAGGTCTATGTCACCAATGTCATTTCATCAGGGTCCCTTACCTGATGATGACCAGCACACAGCATACTCCTCCCAGCACGCATCGCCTAGGAGGTTTTGTTCTTACCACAGCAGGGCTGAACCACAACAAAGCACATGGCACCCATACTGGCCTTATCCACCGCAATGGGGGCCCTGGGATCACTGAGACCCATATAGACACCGGTCCTCAGTCCATTCCACGTCATCACAGAGAAGCTTGCCTCAGCCACAGCCCCTACCTTGTGCAAGGCATTCAGGGGAGGAGGAGGAATGAATTTCGGACAACAAATCAGACATTCACTCAATAGACCTCACACACTCTGATAACCTCAGTGCACAACCGGATGATGCGGTTATGCCATCACACACTGTAGCGATTGATGACCTCAAACTGTTTCAAGAATTATTCAAAAGAGTAGCGACAAGTCAACATGTTTCTCTGCAAGAAGTACAGGAAAAACAAAAACCTACATCACATAGCAAGATTGCCCTACCAATAGATGAGGCAATCATGGAAATTTCAGATCTGTGGAAGACACCTGCATACATTCAACCAACTAAGAAAAGGATTGACAAAGTACTTTGTTCCACCAAAAGAAAAAGAATTTCTGTTTGCACATCCACAAGTAAACTCATTAGTTGTGGAATCAGCATAACAAAGAGCGAAGTTGCCACAATACAGGACCAGCAGCATGGATAAGAATTATAAAAAAGCAAGATTTATTTGGCAAGAAAATATACTCCTCTTCCACCCTACAACTCAGAATATCAAATTATTCTGCTCTGCTAGCAAATCATGATTTTGACAGTTATTCAAAATTAGGAGAACTGATACCACGTCTTCCTGAGTCCAAAAGATCGATCCTTAAAGCAATTGTCCACGAAGGGCAAAGAATCACTCGCACCACTCTTCAAACTGCAATGGATGTTGCTGACACTGCAGCCAGAGTGAGAGCTGTGGTGGTAGTGATACGTAGGACTTCTTAGCTACAGTCCTCTGGAGTTCCCTGGGAACTCGAACCCAAAGTAGAAGACTTGCCATTTGATAAGCACAAGTTATTTGCAGCTATGACAGACAAAATTCTCCATAACAGCAAAAATTCAAAAACCACATTTTGCATGTTGGGCATGTACACACCGCCTTACAAACGCAGACGTTACAATCCATATAACACACACAACTGAAACCGATACAGGCAATACAATTGATCCCAGAGGCCCTACGAAGACACCAGACCAAGGCAACGAGCTCAGAGAAGGTGCCCCATCCAGGGCCACCCACCAACTACTCAACCCTCCAAGCAGCAAATTTGAAGATGTGGTCGAGGGTCTGCAATATCTCCCTCGTGATCTAGCACCAGCACAACATGGCCATCTTTTTACCCACTGGTTACGTCCATTCCTTCCACAATGGGAATCTATAACATCGGACCGCTGGGTTCTAGAGATAGTTCGAGAAGGCTATATCATCCCATTTACTACTATCCAACCTACCCTACTCCATCCCTCTTCAGGGACCTCTCTCACGGGACCCTACTAAAACAAGAGATCGACCGACTCATTACAATCAGAGCCATAGAAAGGGTACCCAAAGAGTTCCATAGAAAAGGGTTCTACATGAACTATTTCTTGACAGACAAAAAGACGGGGGTGGAGGCCTATATTAGACCTCTGCAAACTGAAAAAGTTTCTCAAGAAACAACATTACAAGATGATCACACTTACAATGATCATTCCTGTACTAGATGAAGGGGACTGGTTCATAGCCCTCGACCTGCAAGACGAGTACTTTCACATAGCTATTCTTGCAGCTCACAGACGCTACCTACTCTTTACTGTTGGTCCAGAGCACTTCCAATACAAAGTTCTCCCTTTCGGTCTCTCATCAGCTCCAAGAATATTTTCGAAGGTACTAGCAGTTGTGGCCACATACCTCAGATGACAGAACGTCATCATATTCCACTACCTAGACAACTGCCTTATAAAGGGGTCGTCACGGGATGAAACCGCCTCCATGATAAGTACTACCACAACCGTCCTCTGTCGTCTAGGCCTTCTAGTCAACGAACACAAATCAACATTGCACTCAGTTCAAGACATAGAGTTTATTGGCGCATGCCTGGACTCAATCACAGCTCGAGCATACCTACCTCGACAACGTTTTACAACTGTACAAGAAATTATAAGCGTGATATTTACAACTCCCATCACCACAGTACTTACCTGCCTCCGACTAATGGGACACATGGCTTCCACCACCTATGTAGTTCACCACGTTCGCCTACACTTTCGATGCTTTCAACTCTGGGTAGCAACTGTTTACACCCTGTCACGACACATGGAGCAAGGGGGTTACCATTCTATCAGACGTTCTTGCATCCCTAAGATGGTGGACAGTATCGAACAATCTTCTGGCGGGGGTTCCATTCCAACAAATTGAACCCACTCTTCAAATTACCACGGATGCTTCCCTCCTCAGCTGGGGGGCACATATGGACAACCCAGGAGTTCAGGGCAGGTGGTCTCCAAGTGAGACACTACTACACATCAGCCTCCTCGAATTGAGGGCAGTAAGGAATGCCTGTGCACATTTTGCCTCCAACATCGCCAGTTGCACAGTCCGCATCCTAACGGACAACATTTGCTCAATGTTCTACATAAACAGACAAGACGGAGCCCGCTCCTGTTCCCTCTGTGCGGAATCTAGCCGCCTGTGGAACTGGTGCATCCGCAACCAAGTCACCCTCATAGCATCCTACCTCCCCAGGGTGAACAACACCAAAGCGGATTCTATCAGCCTCACTTGGACCACGAGTGGGAATTACATACGGAAGTCACAAATTCAATTTTCCACCAATGGGAATGGCCATCTATAGACCACTTTGCTTCTACCCTTAATACCAAGTGCCCCCGATTCTGCTCATGGGTGGGACTTGGCAAACATTCTCTAGGGGACGCCTTTCTCATCAAATGGACAGCCCCCCTACACTACATCTTCCCCCCATACCGCTCATCTCAAGAGTTCTACGCAAAATCTGCAGAGACAAAGCCCTAGTCATCCTGATTGGTCCATCGTGGTCCCTTCAAACTTTGTACCCATACCTCTACAGGTTCAGCCTCCCTATCCACTACAACACCAAGCAGATTTGTGTCGCACAGGACAATGGGAGGATACTGCATCCACAGCTCCATACCCTACATCTTCAGGCGTGGCTTCTGTCTGGTTCTTGGAGATAGAAGATTGGTGTTCTCAGCAAGTGAAAGAGATCCTTCTCCATAGTAGGAGACAATCCACACACAAAACTTACCTGCAAAAATGGACACGGTTCTCCCACTGGTGTCAGCGGGCCAAAGTGGAACCCTGTGTCTCCCCATTAAATACCATCATCGACTACATTCTAGACCTTAAAGCATCGGGACTGCCAATCTCTTGTTTAAGAGTCCATCTCTCTGTGATAGCAGCATTCCACACCTCGGTCGATGGTTTCTTCATATTTGCCCATTCTATCATGGAAGAGATTCCTTAAGGGACTTCACAACATAGACCCATCCTGTAAGGCCCCATCCCCCTTATGGGACCTAAATCTTGTCCTGAATCACCTCAGCAGGCCTCCCTTTGAACCACTGGCTACCATGCCACTCCCTTTTCTTTTTATGAAAGTCTGTTTCCTGCTAGCCGTTACCTCGGTTAGGAGAGTAAGTGAACTTGGGGTGTTAATGGCAGAACTCCCTTACGCAGTTTTCACAAAGGATATGGTCATGTTTAGACGCCACCTGACATTCCTGCCGAAGGTCTGTACGGAATTCCATGTCAATGAACCCATTGTACTACCTAACTTTTCCCCAAAACCACTTGCTTCACAAAAGGATGCCAGTTTACATACTTTGGACATTTGACGGGCTTTGGCCTTCTTCCTGGAAAGAACAAAACCATTCTGTAAATCTTGAAGACTTTTTATCTCTATTGCTGAACGATCCAAGGGAGCACCCATCTCATCTCAATGAATTTCAAAGTGGATATCGACAGGTATAGTCAGATGTTACACCCTGGGCAATAAACTGCAACAATGCCCACCATGAGCACATTTCACTTGAACTACGGCTGCTTCCACAGCCTTTTTGAACAATGTTCCCTTAAGAGACATTTACCGGGCAGCAACATGGTCTTCAGACTATACTTTTGCCAAACATTATGCTATCCTGCCACAACTTCATGATGACTCAGCATGTCCATCACCGCTAAACACTGACTCTGGCTCCCTCCAGCCATATATTGAATACTGCTTTTAGTCACCTGGAGTGGAGCACCCACGGGGACACCACTCGAAGAAGAAAAGGGAGTTACTCACCTTGTACAGTAACGAGTGTTCTTCAAGATGTGTGTCCCTGTGGGTGCTCCACGACCCTCCCTTCCTCCCCTCTGCTTTGAGTCTTAGTTATTCAGGCGGAGACGAGGAACTGAAAGGGAGGGGGTTGTGCCGCGCACTAACAGGAGGCAGGAAAAACTCTAGACGTCCCCTGCACATGCGCAGCCAAATGGGGGAAACTGCTTTGCAAGGGTGAGATCTGCGGCTCAAGGCAACCCTTCACCTGGAGTTGAGCACCCATGGGGACACATCTTAAAGAACACTCAGTACTGCATGAGGTGAGAAACTCCCTTTTTTGCTTCCCAAGGCTGGCCAGGCACCAAACTAGCCACTGGCACAAATCAGAGAAGTGAAACCTCCACTGGCACATAATGGATTGAAAGAATACACTATACTTTGGTCCCTCCTCCTGTCCCTGTACATCATGACACACCCCTTATATCAGAATGAATGGCAGTAGGAGATATACCCATCTGGCCACCTTGACTTTATGCTACTCTGGGATTCCCCTACACCTAGGAAATCTCTAACATCTCTTTTAGAGCATTTTTCCAGCTGCTTTGTAGTGCTGAAGCAGATAACAGCTAGAATGGGTCCTGAGGATCTGGGCCAAATTTTTACTGCCTAGAGTTTCCCAATAGTATTTTATTTTAACTATTCTGTTCTCAATATGCTACTACAAAATATATAGAAATTATGTTTAAGATCACTATTAAATGGAGACATGAGCTAAGTAATTTTGTTTTGTCATGATTAAATGTAATAGGCATGATAATTAGTCTATCTCACACTTTTTGATATTTGTTAGAAAGTGCTCTATTGCAGACAAAGTGACTTCTTATAGGAATAGTCCTTAAGTTTATAACTACAACTTTCATCTCAAGTTGGGCAAAATGTCTGTTGACTTACAGCATGGCAGAATTTGACCATTAGTTAGCACATTATGTACAAGTATGCATTTTGTCTAAGATATAGTTAAAATGCTGAATTAAATTTCTCCTAAAATAAACTCTTAGAATGTAGGAAACTAGCAGCCGTGAGGGTAGGCTGGTTGGTGAGAAATCATTGACTTATCTGAAGTATTTGCATTAGGAGATCACATATTTCTGCTCCAATGAACTGAATGATTATTGTTTATTCATGCTTGCTGTGTAGTGGATGACCACTTGATTTAAATCAACAAGTATTCTTTGTATCTAAATTAAAGTAAATAGAGAGATACATTATAGTATATGTATGTACATTTGAAGTACCTTTACGTCAAGACTTAAAGAAGCTCTCTGATTTCTATGCTTCTGTAAACACATTTAAAATCTTATCAATAAAAAAAATTTCCCTGGACTCTAATGACTTGCTATAGCTTTTACATGAATGGGCAGCAAGTCAGCAAAATTAATTGAACCAAATTATTTTGTAAAGACCGTTTTTTAGCAGACAGAACTATTTTATGTTATATAGCAGTGTCTCCACTTTTGTCTTTCTGCTCCAGCCAAGAGATCCACCACATGGGATCTTTAATGTTAGGAACACAAAGCAGTGGTGTTCTGTCATTTTACATGTGGTGACATTTGTAACCAAGAGGAACAAAGGGCAGCCATTAGCCATTTGGAAATAGTATACAGGCAGTCCCCGACTTACGCGGATCCGACTTATGTCGGATCCGCACTTAAGAACGGAGCTTTCTCGCCCCGGAAGTCGGGGCGAGAAAGCCCCGTTCGTAAGCTGCTCCGGTGCCCCTGGTCTGCTGGAGACCGTCTCCAGCAGACCAGGGGCACCGGGCGGGTTCCTGCGCCTCTGA